CCCTGTCCATCCACCCACGTGTGCCAGATCAGGGGAGGGGTGCCCGCTCCTGCCCAGCGCACCCGGGGCAGCGGGACGTGCGCTGGCGCAGCCGCCTCTCACCCGAAAATCTTGTTGAGGGTGTTGGCCACAAAGTGCTCCTCCTCGTAGCTGCCCAGGCTGAGCAGTTGGGCTCCCAGCTCCCGGCAAAACTCCTGCGCTGCGATCCACGTCTTCTTCTCTTGCAGTTTCTCAAAGTTGAACACCTTGGGGAAGGAGGAATGGGGGGCGCAGGGGGCTCAGCACCGGGAGAGGAGCAGAGCATCCTCCCCACCCCACAGGCAGCAGCATCCCGGGGCACGCTGCCACCGCCCAGCCCGAACCGGGCTTGTGGTGTCTGGGCGGCCCTTTGGAAGCACCAAAACATGCTCTTTCACCCCCCGCCGCACCCCACACCAGTCAGGGCAAGCCCCCCCAGCGCCCCTCACCTTGTAGCAGTGACGGAGCTTGGAGTCGGAGCTCCATCCCGGGGGGCAGGCGGCGGCCAGGCTGGGCGTGGGGTAGGGACCGGGCAGCTCGGGGTTGACCGGGGTGCCCAGGTTCTGCCGGCAGATGTACTTTGCCTTGAAGGTGCTGCAGTTCTTCACCTCCCACAGCCCCATGGAGCTGCCGGTGGCCAGGGCCACGCAGCCACCCTTGTTGTAACCTGGAGCGCTCACGGGAGCGGGGAGGGATGGCAGCCTTAGGGTCAGACCGTGCCCGCTGGCAGAGCCAGCACGCACCACACACGATGGGGACATCCCCATCCCACCCCTGGCCGCCCCCTTACCGGGCTGGTCGCGGTTCCAGTGGGTGTACATGACCTCGTCACCGCTCAGCCAGCGGAAAGCGCCCGTCTCGTTGATGTCCTGCAGTGCTGTCCAAAAATACTCCCCGTCCCAGCCGTAGATGAGGCTGCTGACGTAGGCCTGCTCAAACCTGGAGGGGTGGTGAGAGAGGGCGATGCTGCGGGCTGAGATGCTGAGCAGCCCGTGCCACTGCAACCCGCACACGGGCCATCAGCAAAGCCCGGCTGTGGGGTCACATCCACAGAATCACAGAATGGTCAGGCTTGGAAGAGACCTCTGGAGATCATCTAGTCCAACCCCCCCGCCAGAGCAGGGTCACCTACAGCACGTTGCACAGGACAGCATCCAGGCGGGTTTTGAATGTCTCCAGAGTGGGAAACTCCACCACCTCTCTGGGCAGCCTGTGCCAGTGCTCCACTACCCTCAAAGTAAAGAACTTCCTTCTCATGTTAAGATGGAACTTCCTATGTTCAAGTTTATGCCCATTACCCCTCGTCCTATCACTGGGCGCCACTGAAAAAAGACTGCTCCTACCCCCCTGGCACCCTCCCGTTAAGTATTTGTAAGCGTTAATAAGATCCCCCCTCAATCTTCTTTTCTCTAGACTACAGAGACCCAAGCCCTTCCTCATATGAGAGATGAGATGAGATGAGACAAGCTCCCTTCTTGGGGAGCTCGTTTTGGGGCAAACTGACCGCCGCTGGCGTGGCACTGACCTGTTGGTGATGGTGACCAGCGTGGAGCCGTAGTCGGAGCACATCTTGCGGGCGTCGCTGTAGGGGACGCGGTCCTCGCCCAGCCAGAAGCAGGAGGGGCTGTGCCACTTCCAGCCCTGGGGACGGGTGACAGGGGATGTCCACCACCGCTCACCCCAGCCCTCCCCAGAAGGGTGGGAGAGAACCCGGGGGGGGGCCAAAGCAACGTCCCACGTCCCCCACTGCCACCTCCGCCTTCTCCTGGGAGGTCTCCTGCCCCCGGCCGCCCCGGCTTGACCCCGCTCAGCTTTGAGCTCTAACAAGCCCCCGGCCCCAGAGGACATGGCTACAAGGAAAACAAACACCCAGGCGGCTTCAAAGCCGGAGAAACGGCTCTCCCTGCCAATGTCCAGCCCCGGCCGGGGCGCGGGGAGGGGAGCACAATCCTCCTCTATACGCCGCGGGGCCGAATCCAGAGCGAGTCCCACCGCAGCCTGCTTTAATCCCCCGCCTTGTTGATGTTGGAGCCTCTCCGGGGCTGGAGAGACACAATAGCGCCTGTTTTCTGCCAGAGCAGGGAGCGGGGAGGCCCCGGAGCTGGCAGCGGCGTGGGGAGGGACACGGGGGCTCATCCGCGGGAGGGGACACACGTGATGGAAGAGCAAGCCGGGGTGGGAAGGGTGAAGGGGCTCAGCCAGGAGGACAAGCGGCCCCAGGCTCAGAGACCCTCCTGGCACGGTAGGAAGCATCCCCAGGGCTTTACCCCTGGGTCCCCCGGCCACTGGAAGGACAGTGTGGGACATGCGCCATGTGCAGCGTCATCAGCGCGGTGGGGAGGGAGGCAGGAGAGCAGCTTTGGGAGACCAAGAGGAAAACGATGCTGAATCCCATTTTTCATTCCCCCAAGTTCCTGCTCCCGCAGCCTTTCCCCAGTGTTAGCAAATCCCAGCACGGACCAACCCACAACGCCTGCCCCGGGCTGGATCCCCCTGGGAACAGCACGGACCCCCCTGAGCGGCTGGGAAAGGGGCCCCACATGGGACACTGCAGGTCCTCGATGTCCCCAGAAGGGCCCAACCATCGCTAAAACCCCAGGGGTGCTCTCCCATGCACCGAGCACCACAGCAAGCCCGTCACCCAAAAAGGGGCCAGAATGGGACCGTCAACCCCAACTGCTGCCTCCAGACCCTGATCCCCGCGTGCCCCCGCACCCCTCTCTGGTTCTGCCTTCCCCATCCCCCAAACCTCCATCCCCCATTGCTTCCCTCAAGGCTGTTCCAAAAATAAAGGGGTTTTGGAAAGGGTGAAAACCAGCAGCAAAGCCACCAAGAAAAACCAGCACAGCGGCTGGAAAGGACCGGAGTCAATCCTCCAAGCAAGGTGCCACCTTCTCTTCATCAGCCTCTGCATCAGGGTGGCAAATGGCCCCGCTGAGGATGAGGAGGGGGAGGAAGGATGGGAAACAGCCTTTCCTTGGTTCATTTATCATTCCCAGTCTTTCCCAGTGGGTGCATCTCTCTGCTGGGCACCCAGGGCCAGAGTAAGACCGTGGCTGGAAAGGCAGGAGGGAGATAAATCTGCATGGGGACATCCTGTAAGTCCTCAGGACTGCTTTGGGGACAAGCAGACGGGTGGCAGTGGCACATTGCCACCGAGCACCTCGTCCCCAGCACCTGCTGACACAGGGGCTCCTCCGGCTCTGCCTGGCAGCCCCCCGAATCTGGTCTGGGGCACCAGCTCGCCCGGCTGCCCTGGTCCCCCCGAGCTCTCGCAGGGCCAAGTGGCTGCTGGGGTTTGTCTCCGCTGCGAGGGGGTAAAGACCTCGGAGGAGCCCGGCAGCACCCCTGGGAGCCGGCCCGGAGAGGCTGCTTACTAGTCCGAGCGCGAGCTGGCTTATTTGGAAATGCTGGGAGATGTTCAAGAGCGGCGGCGATGCCAGGCTTGCCGCTCAAAGACTTTGCAAAGAGGCACAAAAGCGACGTCCCAGCAAGCGTGGGAATGGGGCGGCCTCAGCCCCGCGCGACAGCGGGGGAAACTGAGGAAGAGTGCAGTGCGGGTG